AATGGGACTTAATTAAACTAAAAAGCTTCTGTACAGCAAAAGAAATAGTTGGCAGAGTAAATAGGCAAACCACAGAGTGGGAGAAAAAGCTTTGCAATCTAAATAGCCAACAAAGGACTAATATCCAGAATCTATAAGAAACTCAAGCAAATCAGGAAGAAAAATAAACAAACAATTCCATCAAAAAGTGATCTAAGGGCATGAATAGACATCAAGAGAAGATATATAAATGGCCAAAAACATAAGAAAAAATGCTCAACATCACTAATTATCAGGGAAATCCAAATAAAAACCACAATGAGATACCACCTTACTCCTGCAAGAATGGCTATAATAAAAAAAATAATAGATGTTGGAGTGGATGTTGTGAAAAGGGAATATTTTTATGCTGTTGGTGGGAATATAAACTATGGAAAACACTGTGGAGATTCTTTAAATAACTAAAGGTAGAACTGCCATTTGATCCAGCAATTCTACTCTTGGGTATCTACCCAGAGGAAAAGAAGACACCACCTTTTCCCCAAAAACCTATTGAAAAAAAAAAAAAAAGATACTATGAAGTAAATAGAGGGCAGGTGTGTCGGCTCATGCCTGTGATCCCAACACTTTGGAAGGCCAATGTGGGAGGATGATTGCTTGATGCCAGGAGTTTGAGATCAGCCTGGGCAACATAGTGAGACCCCATCTCTACAAAAAATAAAAATATTAGCCAGACATGGTGGTGCACACCTGTAATCCTAGCTACTTGAGGGGCTGAGGCGAGGGGATTGCTTGAGCCCAGAAATTTGATGTAACAATGAGCTATGATTGTGTCACTATACTCCAGCTTAGGCAATAGAGTGAGACAATACCTAAAAAAAAAAAGGAAAAGAGGAGTGCATAAGCCCCAGACGGGAGGAAATATTTGCAACACAAAGATTTGACAAAGAATTTGAATCTAGACTATATAAAAAGAGCTTCTACAAATCAATAATGAAACTTCAAACAATACACTAAATAAATCAATAATGAAACTTCAAACAATGCAATAAAATAAGCAAAAGGTTTGAATTGATGTTTCCCAAAAGAGAATACATAAAGGATCAATTAAACAAACAAACAAAAAAAATAGTCATACGTCATCAGGAAAAGGCAAATTAAAATTGCAGTGTGTTTTGTCACATGTAGAAAAATGGTTAAAATTTAAAAGACTAACAATACCAAATGTGGGTGAGGACATGGAACAATGGACCTCACATACATTGCTGGGGAGAGTATAAAGTGGAACAGCCACTTTGGAAAAATATTTGGTAGTTCCTTATGAAGTTAAACGTATGTCTACCCTATGAACTAGTAATTAGGTATTAACTGTTGAGAAATGAAAACATTCATTGAGCCAAACCTGGAAGCAATCCAAAGGTTCATGAACAAAAGAATAGATAAACAAATTGTATTATATCCATACAAAACTATTTCCCAGCAATAAAAAAGAATAAAGTACTGATATGCACAACCTACACGAATCTCAAAAAGATTATGTTAAACAAAACAAGCTAGACCCAAAGTTGAACATACTGTGTGAATGCCTTTACATAAAGTTCAAAAACAGACAAAACTAATCTGTGAAAAGAGAAATAAGAACAATGGTTATCTATGAGTGGGATTCACTGGAAAGTGTTTATGGAAAATTTTGACAATAAAGGAAATGTTCTATGCTTCGAAATTTCTACCAAAAATGGTATTTTTAAAAAGACAGTTTGAGGTATTGATGAAACATATATATGCATTTATTACAACTCATCAGACTGTACACTTAAGATCTGTTCACTTTATATAAATTTTACTTTAATGAAAATGAAAAAGAATACATCTTAATTATAAGTCAGGCTGGGAAAAACCAAATGAAAGCAATATAATTTATTTTGTTTCTTTGGTTTTTAAAACGGAAATAATCCACATATCACCAAGTCAAATATTTTCTCTCATCATCTATGTTATACATCTTTCCAGTTTTGAGTGACAAGCCGTGATTATTTTCACCTAAATAATTTCTGGTTTTGGAAAAAGAAAAAGGGAAAGAGGATACGGATTCGCAGTTTTATACACATAAGAGCCGCAAACCATGGTTTGCATTTTCATTGCTTCCAGCTAGTAGTGTTTCATTACATGCAGTTGACAGTATCTCTAGTTCTCTTGTCAAGGCTTGCAGAGCACTTGAAGTGCTCTACATTTAATGGCACAGTACTCTTATAGATTGAGCCAAATTGAAGGTCGGAGAAAGATTGTTTTGGAAATGACAGAAAAGCCAGAGTTATTTCCCTAAACTTTTACATTTTTAGAAATTAAAATACCTGGGACGATGATGAAGAGGTATGCTGTAATTAAGGAGGCAACCTGTTGATGGTGTGGTGGTGGCAATGATTAGTAAGAGGTGCTGAGCGCAGCAAATAGATAACTCAGGAGAATTAGGTGCCCTGCGTTTCAATGAGGAAATTTCATCTGAAAAGTTAGAAAAATGACCAGCATACATAAATATGTGTCCCAATAGTCCTTTCCAGCTATTCCTGTCCACTCACACTTATAAGCATTCAGAACTGTCTCCTTGTTATTAACGTCCAACTTTCTTACTGACCTCCTGCAGGGTTTCCCCCACCCAGCTGTGTCCCTTTGGGATCTGAGAAACTATTAAATAAGAAAAAATTTTTTGTCCATTCCTGTTTCACATCCGATTGTCAACATGACCCTTCCATGTCCACCTGAGGTGTCCTAATTACTCCACAGCGCTTCGCACTGCATGCTGTAGTCCAAAGTACATTGCAGCTCCCCTCCTTCTTTCCTGACAGCCAGTACGTGATCAGTCCCATACTTGGTTGCTGGTCATTCATTAGCTCATACTCATAGACTCTTTGTTGTTGCTGTTAATCAACCTCAGCAAGCCCTTAATGTTGAGGATGATGACTTGTTTCCTGTACTCCAGACAGTGCCCTATCACATTTAACTGTTCAATTAATTTACTAGTTAGCTAACTTTAACTCCATTTGAGAAATTAAAACATATTTGGTAGCTTAAACCCGTAAGTTATAATGCATTTCTTGTCAACTTTAAAATACAGTGTGTATTTCAATCTTTTTGAATGCAAGACAGGTTTAGTTTTATCTAGAAATGGAAACATAAACTTATTAAATATCTCTGGAAATCCTTCCTATTTGGGTAGCTCTGTGATTTTTCCATCCAGGCAACTGTGGATGATGAATTAGCTGGGATTGATCTTCAACATCGGTCATTGGCCATAGCATCTGCTATACCTCTGTTGACTCTGTCATCTCCTAGGGGGCTTGTACTCAACATTAATGACAACATTAGCCCAGATGACATGTAATTAAGAAAGCAAACCTTTTTCCAAACAGAAATAATACAAGAGGTTCCAGATCCAAACAGAACAGAGTTGTGGATCATTTCATGTTTGTCTTCATATCATTCTCCCCACCCCACTCCACTGACACAGCTTGATGCTTGACTGTCCTCTAAGCCCTTTCCATTGCTGTCATCTCAGATGCTGGCAATGTATCTTGCTGAAAGGGAAGCTTATTAACAAAGTTAATAACTTGGAGAGTCAGTGCAGGTTATTTGTAGGACGCTCATTATGAGTCTTGAGTCTGACTGAGTCCGGAAAGCAGTGGAATATTCCACAAATCCACCCACAGGACGTCTGTTTCCCCCTTCCCCAGGGTCTGTTTCTCCTGCAAGGGTTCAGAGCTGCCTGGCAGAGGCTGGCTGAAATAGGAGAAATCCTGAATTAAGCTGTTTCAGAAAAGTGACCCAGTCTTTGGAGAATAATTAAGTATGAGTAAAAGGCTTAGAGTCATTCTGTTCTCCTCTATAATGGAGTGTTCATTGCTTTTGTGACTATTGCTTTTACGTACATTTTGATTAGCACTTGGAACAATACCTCAGGGAAACTTAAATGAAAGTCTATTTTCCAGGATGGAGTAAACTGGCAGAAATTTCCATTGTGTATCAAATCTGCTATAAATTGTTTGCCTTCTGGGTATTTTGGGCCTAAGATGTATTCCTGAAGAAATAACTGCTGTTGCTCCAAGTAGAAAGTGGTTGAGGAGACAGCCAACAGATATGACAAGCTCTTATTTTCTATCACAGAGCTGTGAAAGAAATAGCCTAAATTATCTGAGAAGGAATAGCATTCTGTTGTGCTGGATTTCCAGTGCTTCCCAGCTTTTGCACTGTTAGCTTATTTTTTCCACGGCCCTACAATAACAATCCACTCTTTTCCCTGCACTCCTGGCCCCGGTGATGTTTTATCATGCTCATGCTGAAAGAAAAGGTATGTGTGCATACTGTATCTCTTCATTTGGCTTCAGGGATTTCCCTTTGACTTGGAAAGAATAATCTTTCAAATTCCGCTATAAACTATACAGGAGAAAGAGAAAAAAGAAGATTAAGCTTCTGGAATGTGCATTGGTATTGACATTTTGTTCAAATAATGAGCCGAAGGTGAGCTATCTTTAGTATTGCTCATGTGAACGATCAATTATTATCAATCCAAACTATCAGCAGTGTTGCTCATCATTGATTTATACTGGATGGTTTAATTTTGTCTCCATCCTTCAAGACATTAAAATATAGCCAATATTTAGCAGGTCCTGCCAAGACACCATGAGCTCCTCCACAGCCCCTTAACTCCTCTCTCCCTGTTCTGCCCAGGATATTTATGGTGAGCAGGAAGTTATCTCCTCTTTGGCAGCCATCCCTGCTTTCCTGTGTGGAGGAATTGCTCGCATTCTCATTTGCAAACAGAGGCTCACTCAAGTGTCACTAAAGGAAAGGGGGTGGAGCCTGAAGAGCTTTAAAAAGCAAAGCTGAGTCATTCCACTTTTCAAAAAGAGAAACTGTGTTGGGAGAGGAATCGTATCTCCGTATTTCTTCTTTCAGCCCCATCCAAGGGCTGTGGCTGGAACTTTCCATCAGTTCTTTCCTTTCTTTTTCCTCTCTAACCCTTTGCCTTGCTCTATCTGTCACAGTGAAGTCAGCCTCAGGCCGCCAGAGCGGGGCTGTTAAACTCTGTGAAATTTGTCATAAGGGTGCCAGGTATTTCTTAGTGGCTTCCAAAGAAACGTAGATAAAGAAATCTTCCCTGTGGCATCCCTTGGCAGGCTGCATTGGGAAGTTCTGTCAGTGGAAGAAAGAGCTGGAGGGCAACAGCACAACAGGAGGGTAAAACATGCCCCAGGGCCAAGGCTCCGCTGAGGCAGCCGCGTTTGGGGTCAGACACACTTACCTTGCCCAGGCCATGCTCCAGGAAAATCAAGTTGTTTTCTTTTGAAAGTTCAAACCCATCAAGATTATGCTGCTCACTCTTATCATTCTGTTGCCAGTAGTTTTAAAATTTAGTTTTGTAAGTCTGTCTGCACTGCAGCACTGGAGCTGTTCTGAAGGTACTCCCGCAGGAAATGGGAATTCTACTTGCATGGGTAAGTAATCCAATGAAAGGGTGCTCCAGGTCTCTGGGAAACTGCCCTCACATCTCCGTTGAATCAATCCTATATACTTGGGCATTTAAAAAAGTTTGTCTTTGGGTGTGTACAGTGGCTTAATTTTTGTTTTCTGATGCATGTTTATTTTCATACTGGCCATTAGAGCTAATGTGCTACCAACTAAAAATTTATAACTCTCATCCTGTACTTCAGTGTGTATGTGAATGAATATACCTCATTTTAAACTAGCAGAACATTTCATGGAAACTTCAGTTTTTATTCTGACAAGACGAGTAATTAACATCTAGTTGATTGGCTTTATATTGGAAACTAGGGAAACAGATGGTTAATTTTTTGTTTGCCTATTTGAAACTCTTCAGCCACAAAGAAAAAAAATCCTTCCTTCTGAAAGCTTTGTGTAAGAATTCAGAAGTTGCTAAGAATTAGTGAAAAATGGGAAGGGAACTGTAAACAAAGGTAATTGTGAGAATTAACCTAAGTTTCAATTTCAACCTCCTTCACTTTCTCCCCACTCTCGCTGTTTCTGAGACTGACACGACTCCGGAGTTTTAGTAATGGATGCATTGTAACTCTGAGAACTGCCAAATATGACAATGGGCAAATAAGCCACACTGTCCTCTCATATTAAATGGATTTATCGCCAAGGGGAAATGGGAGCTTGACTGAAGGCGAATTACATTCCTGCCAAAAGATATTGCCTGAAAAACATTCTCTCTCTGTTAATTCATTTGTTGAATCCTTGGGTGGGTCTCCAACCTGCTGCTCAGACAAGGCAGCCACCTCCATCGATGAGAGAGAGTATAAGCTGCTCCGACATTCCATTCTTGTCAGCTTGCTCTTTGAGATGGGATCTGACTTTTAAAAAGAGATAGATGGAGGGGGAAAACACAGTACAGTTTCCAGGAGAGACACCTCTGGAAGACAGTGCGCAATAGTTTGAATAAAGAGAGCAGAACGGAGCCAAACTGCCAAAGCCAGGCTGCTGTCCTGGCTCACTCATTAAGGAAGTTCCCAATGAGGAAATCAGGTGCTTCTGCTCAGAATCTCTGGATTCTGTTCTCAGGTGGCACTACTTGTAACAGGTGAGCAGAACTCTAGGATATTTGAAAGAAAGGCTGAGTCCTAATGATCTCTATGTCCACAGCACTTAGGACATTTCTGCTTCCATAGTGTGTACTCAGCAAATTCTTGTGTATGAATGAGGTGTCTTTCTCTGATCTGCTAATGACATAGTCTTAGAGAACGGCAACAAAAAGAGGCTGACAAATGACAAAAGTGACCTCATGAACCTTAGACTCAGCTGTTGGAGGCAGAAGTAAAACTTTTGTATACAGTTATATCAAATGGACTGGAGCCCCTTTGGGGTGGGAGAATGTTCCTGGGAGTAGCTGGCAAATATCTAGAGTTGGGCAGTCATTTGTATGGGATGTGAGGGGTGACAGTTGGGTCAATCTATCAGGCAGCCAGTAGCTAGGAAAGAAGAACCCAAGTTGCTGAAGCAGAACCCAGGAAATTACAAAAATGAGCTTTAATGGTTGGCTCTAGGATCTCAGAATAGTTTGATTTCTGGCTGGCAAGCAAGTCTATGCCTTGTTTTCCTTGCCACCCCTGATGGTGGCTCAGAAGTGCCTTCATTGAGCTAGGTTGTACCCAATAAACATAAAACCCAGGATAGAAACAATGAGTTGGGGAGACTGTGTCACAAAATGGAAGGAACCACAGGTTTTAGAAGCAAACAAACCTCGTTTCATATCCATGCTACTAACTTGATAGCTGAGTTACCTTAGAATATCTCTGGGAAATAAAACCCTCACCCACTGCTTTTAGGATTTTTGCGGGGAGTCACATGAGATAACCAAGTATGTACCAAAGCATGGTGCTTAGCAGAGTGTGCTCAATTAATGTCCTCTTGGGCTCCACGTCTTGGCTAAATCTCTTTGATCAAGTCATATGATGATATGTCTTACTTGAACAGCGCAGTGACATGGCACGGATCCACGGAGTGTGGAATATGTGGATGCCACTTTGTGACTCCCTGCCTCTCTGCTTCCTCATTTCTTGCAAGTCACTGGTTTAAACCCCGTACTTTACACTCGCGATCTCATGTTAGCTGCTAACTGCCTGGGTCACCCTCTGTCACTGCGTGCATTTCAGAGGATAGTATTTCTTTCTCCTCCCTAAATAGATATGGTACCATCATCTATTTTTCCCTCATTTAAATTCTACTTGCCTTATTTCTTGCCCTTGGCATTGAGATAGAGCAGGAAGAATGCTTTGTGATCTCACAGTATTCAGGTGAATTTACGCAGGATTATTACTCATGCAGCTGCTCAAGTCATAGCAACACAATTAGGTTTCTTTCTATTCCCCTTCCCCTCCCTGCTTTTAAACAAATTAACCGAGTATTCACTTAGCTTCTACTTGAGCTACAGAAGGTGAGGAGAGCAGGCAAGAAAACTGCTGGCATGGTTTCTGAACTTTCAAGGCTATTTACCCTGGAGGACAGACAGCAGTTGGAAAAGAAACGGCTCCTGTTTGGCATCTGTACCTACATTATTTACATGAACTTTTTGGTAAATAAAGGGTAAGAAGAAGTACAGTCTCCCAGCTGTAGGAGGGATCCTGGGTGGCACTACGTTAGCCAACTCGGTTGATCACTTTTAGTAGTAAACAGTGAAATCACTGATTTCAGCACCGGCTAATGCTTGGTCAGCTTCCCAGTCAGGGGCAAACCAGAGTAATTCTGAGACCAGGAGCTTGTTTGTTTTTTCAGTCAGGGTTACGTGAAGGTTTTTTTTTTTATTAACTCCAGTGAAACTATCCTCCAAATATTCAGTGGTTTTTTGGTCATTGAGGGGTAGTAGAGCTTAGGGTAAAGAGCATCAGTTTTGGAGACAGATTGCCTGCCTGTGTTCCAATCCCATTTCTGCTGCTTGTGAACTGTGTCTCATTTTCCTTACTCTAAAATGAAGGTAATTGTACCCTCTTCCTGGGACTCTTGTCAGTATTGCGTTAATGTATTCATTTTCAAGGCTGGCTGCACATTAGAATCACCAGTGTTCGGGTGACCGCCCCAGGCAGTCTGGATCACAGACTCTTCTGGGATTGAAATCTAGGTCTCATTTTTTTTTAATGTTCTCTTGGTGATTCTAACCAATAGCCTGGGTTTAGAACCACTAAGTTAATGTGTGTAAAGTGCACAAAACAGAGCTTGGCATATAATAAACACTTGATAAGCCTGAGATTCTATTAATGTTTTTGTTGTTCCAAAACTTATTTTTATGGATGTAATAGCATTTTCCAAATGTGGCTTGGTTTTGCCTGTGATCATTGAACATTTTTTATACATGACAAAATGCCATATTGAAAAACCCAAGAATAGTTCTACAACATTAAAAATTACAGTCAAAGTAATTTCAAAATACAAAAATTCATATTTTTGTAATCAGAAGAAATGTTTATTAAAAATACAAAAACATATCAACTTGATTTGCGTAAGTACCCTTGTGGAACTGCGGCTCTGGTATTTGTCTTTTTCTTATACCAACTGATAAAAAATTCCATTCATTGCAAATTAAGCCTGTTTGTTAAGTTTCTTACTGGTAATAATGTTATTTTAACAGCAGGAAAAACAAGCCACTTGAAACTCTTAGTGATTATTTCAATTTTTTGCGTATTTTTGTCTATACAGCTAGTGCTCGACTTACGACCATGATTGGTTCCGACAGACTGGTCGTAACACGATTTGGCTGTAAGTTGAGTAGGCTATATGCACGCGGAGATGGTAGTGCTGCCGGAAGCTGGTCCGTACTGTCGTATGCCCAGCTGGGCAACATTTGCGCTGCCAGACGCGGAGCAGTCGTGGCTAGCGATTGTGGTCGTAAAGTCGAATGGTTGTAAGTTGCATAGGTCGTAAGTCGATCAATACCTGTATGTGGAACCCTTTCATGAAGGATTTTTAAAGCTATTAAAGGCATATTAATTTTCTTAATGAATTTACATTTTGGGGCTAATTTGAGCTGGCCTAAATGTGTGACATTCAATTTAGAAGTTGGAAGGTGAGAACCATTTGGTTGTGTTCAGGGTAGAGCAAATAATTGATTGCTTCCATCAAAAGTAAAAGGAGTAGAAGAGGCACGGTGGCTCACGCCTGTAATCCCAGCACTTTGGGAGGCTGAGGCAGGAGGATCATGAGGTCAGGAGTTCGAGACCAGCCTGACCAACATGGCAAAACTCTGTCTGTACTAAAAGTACAAAAATTAGCTGAGCGTGGTGGTGTGCGCCTGTAATCCCAGCTACTCGGGAGGCTGAGGCAAGAGAATCTCTTGAACCCAGGAGGTGGAGGTTGCAGTGAGCTGAAATCACGCCACTGCACCTCTCCATCCTAGGTGACAGAGCAATACTCTGTCTCAAAAAAAAAAAAGAAAGTAAACGGACTAGTAATTTGGCTCAAGTAAATTAAAACCCTTACTTTATAATTTACAAATCTGCCTTTATGAAAATCCGTTTCAGATTATGCCTTGTGTAGTGTGATTGGTTGGGTTTTTTTTTAGCTTTTAGTTTTTTGTCTGTTTTAATTTCAGTTTTTACTTTAGATTCAGGGGTATATGTTCAGGTTTGTTACAAGGGCATATTGTGTGATGTTGAGGTTTGGGCTTCTATTGAGCCCATCTAATCAGTTGCTTTTTATTTTACAGACGGAATTTTTTACAGACGGATTTTTCTTTGTTGCCCAGGCTGGAGTACAGTGGCATGATCTCAGCTCACTGCAACCTCCGCCTCCTGGGTTCAAGCAGTTCTCCTGCCTCAGCATCCCGAGTAGCTGGGACTACAGGCGTGTGTCACCCACATTACTATTACTCTCCACCAAAAACCATAAATGAGACATATTAGAAACACCTTTGCTGTCTATAATTTTTCTAAAACCCATTTCTTCAAATTTTCAACAATGCTTAGAGAAGTCTAAAGTTAGTTTC